CCAGGTATTCCTGGACTACAGTTCCCAAAAGCCTTCACCACCAGCTGTGCTGGCTGGGGTTTTTGGGAGTTGCAGTCCAAGAACACCTGGGTTAACCAGGGTTGGGAACTGATGGCTAACTCTGTTTTAGGGTGAACACATAATATATATCTTTCTTACCTCTTTCTTGTTAGTACAGAAGTTTGTTTTAGGGAATTTGGCTGTAGGATCTTGGTCAGGTCAAATGGTACTGATGTCATGCATACGAGTTTGGGACTATTTGTGCACACAAACATTTGCCCATCATACTTAGAAATATTTGATTCTAACTGAAATCAGACAAAAGCTGAAAGTAGCATGTTTCTTTTTTCAGACCTGTTGTGTCTGAGTACAGGTGAAACCAGACAGGTCTGAATAAACCCCTACAGTAGTGGGTATCACTGCTGTTTGTGTGGCAGTGTTACTGCCATGCATTAGTAGCGATGCTGCCGACATAGTTAGTTCATCATTGTAATGCTACCAGTATACATGCATATGGGATATTACACTTCTGCTGAATCAGATCCAACTGTCCCAGATTTCATGACAAGAGGCAGGGATTTATGTAATGCAGGTGTGCTGTGCCATACATTCCAGAGCTGGAGGGCTTTGAGCCATTTATCTTTCCTTTCTCCAAGCTGCTGGGTCCAGAGGTTCATTGATCATAATTTATCTTTTTTTTGCAACCTTGTTCAGTCTGATAACAGTCTCTACTTTCTGTGCATAATACACACTGACATCACAGAGCTAGGGATACTGAATACGCTGCAGAAAATGGGCACAAAAATAGATACAAAGAGAGATTTAGCTGGACATGACAATATTTTAGAGTACCGTTGGAGGCTGCATAAAGGGAGAATGGGCAGTGGGGCTTTCCATATTGACTGAAATATCTTTTTTGCCAAATTGCTTGTATTTTTTTGCAGATGGATTCCTTACACCATGTTATACACCAGGCGGGAAGATATGACAGCATTGTGGGGAATCCTCTATATTCAACGCAGCGCATTGATGTAAGGAGCTTCTGATTTTGAAGTGAGCTACAGAAATCTGACAAGGCAGTGGAGGTTAATTTAACCACCTCTGCAGATGCAAATAAATAACACTATTGCGGCATTCACTGTGGTGTTGCTGTTCCAAAGAGGGGGAAATAGGCAGCCTCTTCCCAGTCTTTGTTATTCAGGGGACCACAAGCCTTTTTTTTTTAAACTGTAAGAAAATCCCTTGTTAGGGATGGTCAGAAAGAAAAATTGGCTTACTTACCCACACAAATTGGTTCACCAGAAGAGAAGGAAAGAGCATTTTCCAGTCCCCTCCTATTGGAGGAAGAGACAACAGGAGAGAAAAATAGAGGATGAGAGAGAGAAAACATAGATGCACACAACTAGCCTACAGTGAAGTCCACAAACTGGCCATGGATTGGTTCCCATCCCCCAAATCCGCATTTGCAGGAGTGGCGGTCACTGTACGCATTGTTCCACCCTGTGATCTGAATTCTGTGTGATAAGCCACAGTCATAGGCAATAAAGCTTTATCCATTTAGAGAAGTTAGCTGGACAAGTTGGGCAAGAGGAAAGGAGTCCCATTTGGGAAAAGAGAAATTGTGAAACAAATATAGCAGAAGCAGTTTTCACACAGTACTTTGTCTTCCCTACCCCAGAAAGTGAACTACAGTGTCAAGACTGAACGGAAGTATTTTGGAACAATGTCTGTGTCTTGCCAATGTCATAGTGGTCTCCTGTTGTGATGTGGGAACTGATAATCAAAATGCTTTAGGATGCAAGTAACACCTTCTGGACTTAACACCAAAATGCATTTATTCCCTCTTCAGGCTAATGGCAGCTGGCAGGATGCTACTACCCCTTCATCAATCACTTCACCTGCCGGAGATCCCGGAAGCATTAATTCAGATGCATCTAATTAAATTTTTAGGACCTGTTGAGGAGAGGAAAGAGGTCATTAGTGTAACTTGTCAATGTTGCTCTTTTTTTCCAATATTTTTGATTCTACAACTTGACACACACAGCTGATTACCTCAGACAAAAGAAAAAAGAAAAAAAAAGAAAACCAATAGAAGATTGTGATTATATATGGACACCTCTCTACCTCTCGGCATGATGTGCTTGAGTTCTTCTGGCTTTTGCCCTTTGGGTTGTAAAGGAACTGGCTTCATTTACCAAACCAAATTCCTTTTTTAAACAAGAAATAATCACTTTTATGCTTAAGAGTCTGAAAGTGTTTCTCCAGTGAACTTTGGAATTTGTCTCCATTTTTCCAGTTTTAAAAAAATAGCAACTGATTTTAATTTCTATGTGTTTTTATTATAAAAATTCTGTTCTAGATGCTAGTTACTAACAAATAGCCCCTCTTGTATTGTAATTGTATGCGTTCTCTGTACTGTAATTTTGTATAGGAAGACTTTTTCTTTGAACTCATTAACCAGAACAGGCCATTGCTTTACCAAAATGATTGTTGGACTTTGCTCTTGAATAGAAACTCCATCTTCTGTGTCACTCTCATGTAGGGCTAATTTAATGTCTTAGAGTAAACACAGACTTCCTGTGAATAGACTTTCATGCATTTAGGAAAATGTTAATAGCAAAGTCCATCAGTTTCCATTTAAATTTTATCAAAGAATAAACTTCCAAAGTCTTTTTTTCCGTTCTGCCTCTTTCCCAGCCTTCCTTTGTGTATGTCATGTAGCTTCAGCAGGTATATGGGTGGTGGGGGTGGGGGGAAATGCTTTACCATGAAGTACTGTGTATGTCTTACCAAGAGTTAAGTCCAGTCAAATTCGGCGGAACTTACTCCAACTTTAACGGTTGGAAGGCAAACTCTAAGCCTCGGCGTTGACATTTGTGGCCTTCCAAATATCATTGGACTGTAATTCATCTGCTCTAGCCGTGGTAGCTGATCACAAGGGGTGATCCAGATTGCAGTCCAGCAGCATCTGAGGAATCAGAGTTGCCTATCTATGTGGTTAGCAAATGAAGTTATTTGCCAATGTTAGTACTTGCACATGTGGGTGCCCCCTTATTCTTCTGTTAGTGAGGCATGTATGAAAACGACAGTGGTAGAGCCATTGGGTCAATATGGAAGCACACAGGATTTCCTACTTTATTATATTCAGTCTAATTTAATTATACCTCTCTATTTAAATGTTGAACACGTTCCTGCAAGCTGGCTCAAAAACTGGCACTGATTAATGAGCAGCCATGATATCACCAGAAGCCTTCTCTGCATCTCCTACAAAATTTTACTTCTTAAATAAATTTCGAGGGATATTTTTATCACTAAAAGGATGAATTAATAGATACATCTGTGCAGGCATTTCAACAACTCAAAAGAGCAGGAGTGGCAGACTGACCACTGAATCAAGGATCAGGTAGCTAACACAGGAGTTGTTATTGTGCTTTGGAAGATGGAAGAAACCTAGATTTATACTGTTTATGAAGCACCCACTCTGAGTTTCCTTTCTGTAGAACATCAGTTTTAGCCCAGTATTGGAATTTGCCAATTTCTCATAGATGTAACTTAAGAAGGGCGAGACTGAATGAGTCTGGTCCATGGATTGCTATAGTTGTACTCCTTTTATAACACCTGGGCCAAATTCTACTTTTTTGTTTATACATGAAGTACATCAAAGTTTAAAGTTGGGAAAGGTTTGCAATATGCTGTCTTCAAGAGGCACAGCCTGGAAGAGACGTAAATATGCAAGCATAGCTGGTCTACTTTTGTAATAGAGGTGATTTTTTTTTTGTTTCGCTTACATATTCAAGTAGAATCATGATCTCACCAGTTTTTTTTAATTGGGATTAACGGACAGCATGTTTTATATTTTAAAGCTTTTGTTCTACAGGCATCCCTGCTATGCAGTTTGACCTCTTCTGCATTGTTTGTGGCATATTGCTAATGGACAATCACTGGTGTAGCCTTGCACGGCACAGTTAAACATACTGTTTGTGAGGAGTTTTTCCTGTGTAATACTGTAGTTTGAAATACCAACCTTCCAATAAAATCAGTATCATGATGTTTGGTTACCAAAACCAAACTGTAATTCATGAAGCCTGATAAAAGTGTCAAATGGACATAGAAATGTGAGTTGGCTGCATATGCTGTATGTGAGCAAAGCAGGTACGGTATAATGCTTGTAGGAATCTTTAGTTTAAAGTGGAGACTGGTTTTATGTCAGTTCCGTATAGGGGTTTTCATCCTAAAAGTATCACAGAATGGAGCATCACCACAAATCACATCTAGGCTGCACTGAGGAAAAGACACGTGTGTGCATCTGAGTCCACGATTTGGGCTGGGAGCGGGATGGGGAAAAGAATGAAAGGTAAGCCGATTGATCCATCCCACAACAAAATCGGGTGTTTTATATGGGGACCATTATCCGGCAATGCAAGCCAGAATTAGCCCACGTTAACGAATATTGACAGAAGGGCATAAGAAAGTACTTTGCATAACCCCTTCCTGCTCAACTACAGTTCAGCCAAACTGCAATAGGGGCACAGGGCTGGGGCAGTTTTAAATTATTAAAATTCTCTTTTTCTCATACAAATTAAGACCTGATTTTTAAAAAGGCAGATCTGTGTTTGCAGTTCCCTTTTGTTTCGCTGGAGGGGTGGGACTAAACAAGGCGGGGGAGCCCGCGTCACGATTATGCTACCAAGAGCTTGGAAAGACCCTCAGGACCACAATTTAGCAGTGTATCCGGGACAACTAGACTCGCGGTACCACGAAGGGCTCCTTTCGCATAAGTCATAATTGCATCACTTAAAATGGTAACAGATGGGAGACAACGAGCGGTACACAAGTTTCATGTAGGGCGCCCGCGATTCTTCTCTCGCGCTCTCCTACACAGTACGGCCACTCCCGCCCCCTTTCCATGGAATCCGGAAGTGAGTGCTGCGCGTAACCTCTTCTTTCTCTTTAGTATGTGGGCCTATCATTCATCATAAGTGGCCTGACAGCCTTAAGCGCGGGAGGGGGCGAAAGAAGGAGGTACGCATGCGTTAGGGTGGTGAAATCACGGGGCTCAAAGTGCTTCCCAGAATGCTATGGGAGCGAAGGCCAGCAAGTTGTAGTACGCATGCGTCTTGGCGGGCTATTTTGATTCGGGAAGAGGCGGCGGCGCGGGGAGAACAAAATGGAAGTTGCAGAGTCGGCGCTCGGCAGGTGAGTGCACCTTTTGAAGGAGGCTGTTGTTAATTAATACTGTATACTTCTCAGGAGGGAAACGGGCGCTGCCTTTTGCCGAAATTAAATTTGGCGTGGCTAAATGAACGCCTGTCGTTCTGCTATCCCAACTTCTCAGGGAGGGAGGGAGGAAGGAGGCTGTTGTTAATTAATACTGTATATTTCTCAGGAGGGAAACGGGCGCTGCCTCTTGCCGAAATTAAATTTGGCGTGGCTAATGAACGCCTGTCGTTCTGCTATCCCCACTTCTCAGAGAGGGAGGGAGAGAATGAATAAATATGTGATGTGATTAGAGAGAGAGAGAGAGAGAATGAATGAATAAATATGTGATGTGATATGATGTGTATTGTTCAGGGGCTCCACTCCATATTCCTCAAAATGGAAGGGCTGTGTTTCTTCAGTTTCCCTTAAACTGCGGGTACTGAGGACAGGGACTGTTGGGCATCTCTCATTCATAGGGTGGTCATAAGTCGCTGGTGACTTGACAGGTACCAGGAACGACCGAATTCAACTCTGGGCACCATTACATTTTGGTTCCACACCCAGATCCCGACCTAAAATGCCAGTTTCAAGTGTATCGCATCTCTGGTGCCATGGCTTCTTAGGTGTTTTCTTCAACTGTCAATTGGACGCAAGGAGATGGAGAGTACAGTATATGCAAACAGATTTTTATTTTTAGTCTTGAGTCATGTGCTGCAGGTTCGGCTAACCAGCATCTTCTGCCAACTAGTCTTGTGATTATTTTCCTTAGCACTTCTCTTAAATGCATTTGCCCTTTTAAATTTTGTGATGGTGCTAGTTCTTCATAATATGCTGGATGTACTCGTGCATGGTGGTTGGAACACAGCAGTGCTGCTGATACATAAATATTATACACATTTAGGGGGAAAAAAGCCAAAGGTGTGAGCATCGGCTCTCAGGCAGGGCTGAAATCTTTTTCGCATTTGCAGAAAGATTGTGCAAGTTGCTGCAGTGAAATGTTGTGGTGCCTGATAGGGCACGTGACTAGCACCTTGTCATGTAGTTGTGGCATGTTCTGTGATTTCATTATGGACATCAATAGGATTTTGACTACAGAAGAGGAATCCTTTTATTTGGCCAATCAAAGCGGCACAAAGTAGTAAGCAAGCTTTCACGTTCTCCAGAAATAATTATCAGGCTAGAAGTTAAATCAGGGAGAGACACGCAGGTAACCCCCTGGTTTCACCATCAGCCAGCTTCTTTCCCCTCTTATTTAACATCTAATCTATTGAGGACATCTGAAAAACACAAAAACTTGCTTGCTTATTTTAGTTGTCCTAGTAAGGGCTTTGTACTATTATGGTTTTTATTTTAGGAAGTGTCTCCAGCTGCCAATTGCACTATTGTGCACTTGTCAGTGGCATTTGCTATTTGGTTTGGCACACACTGATGTTGCACTGGTGATTCCAGCTGCATTCATAATGTGTGAAACTGCCCCAAGTAATCATAGAAATGACATGAAGAGAGATGAGTATAGTTTTGCGAATTTTAGATGAAGCTCATGATTATTATCCTGGTCTTAATGTCTGGTATGTCACAGAGTATTGTCTCCATTTTCTGCACTCCATTCTGAAATGGAAATAATTATGACCAACTTCATGTGGAGGTAACCTAAAAGAGATTTGAAGTTGTTTTATATGGCGAAAATGCACGAAGTATAAATCTTTGGCAGTTTAGTGTTATTTTCAGTTTTGGCACTGCCATTTGTTGGAGGAACAGTGGAAGCAGTTCCTGCAAACCATTCACCTTGTATTCAGTGCCAGCCCATAGTGATGTGTATTGAGAAGGCAGCAGAGCTGGACTCATACCACTTGTAGGGAATGAACTGAATTTTTAATACATGGCTGTACTGGGTGGTGCCCTGAAAGCTGTTGTATCTTGAAAATAAACCCCTGACCTATTTAGTGGACCAGGGCTGGAATTTAGAGTGGATTGAATGATTTTCTGATAATAAAGCTCTGCTGATGGAGTTTGTGTGATTGAGGCAATTTCTTTTATTAGGTTGCCCTTTATGTGGTTTAGAAGAAAATGTGCTATTTGATACAAGATGCACAGGAGGTGGGGGAGATGAAGGTGCAATTTAAACTTCAGAATTTAATTGAAAACTATGGAAGTGGAAGAATGATTATACAGTATAGATATAGAAAATTGGGCAGATCCTGGCTGTGTGAGCAGACGGCAGAGCAAGAGAGATGGATATGAAAGATGTAATGCATGGGGTATAGACTTGAAGTGGTGGAAGCCTAAGGCTTAATTAAACCAAATTATTAAACTTTTCAGTGCAGAAGACATCCTTCCAAAGAATCTACAGGAACAGGTAACAAAATTGTTCTTTACTGCCTTTAAAATGTACAGAATTTTAATGGTGCAATAGCAACCTTCAGACTGGGTTTCAAGTAATCCATATTAGAGTGCTTTTTTTCTTTCAACATAAGCGATATTATGCCTTCTTGCCAAGATGGACAGAAATTCAACAGGTGCAGGCAGCAGTGCTGATGTGCTATACCTATTGACCTTCTGTGAAATATATAGTTATTAAAGATATAAAACATTTTTAAAAGGCTGGTTGTCTCCCTTTACAGTGGAAGACAACATAAATACAGGTAATCAGTAAAACAAAATGAGCTTGACTGCAGACAAGGCAGTATCCTGCACATTTCTTAGTAGTAAAAAAGAAAGTTGTTCTAGAACAATGTTTTCCAAACTTTTTTTGCACCGTGTCCTATTCGTATAACAAAAACACGCTGATTATCATCATCACCCTATCTCATGAAAAGGAGCAAAGCTGTTCCCACAGCTATAAATACTCAACTATCCAACAAACAGCAACAGAGCATGGACAGAGTTCTGACTCCTGTCCTCTGAAGATGCCGGCCACAGAGACTGGTGAAACGTCAGGAAGAACAACCTTCAGAACACGGCCAAAGAGCCCGAAAAACCCACAACAACCATCAGATCCTGGCCATGAAAGCCTCCTATTTGTATACTTCCTCACATCTACCATCATCCATCCACTATGTAAAAACAAAAATCAATTTTTATTTTCAAATTAATAGTAAACACAAAAACAGAGTACAATTATTTTAAATTAATTTTGTGATGTTAAGTCTGAAAATAAAAAGTTGTTTAAGCTGATATATTTGGTATGTTATGAGAATTGCAGCCTCCCACTGCCCTTGGAATTTGTTTATGCTCTCCCATCTCTGGGAAACAATATTCTACAATGAATGATGATAAACACAGAACATCATCCGATAACAAGAAAAGAAAACTGAAGGCCTGTGCTGTGAGGGGAAACAACGTTGAAAATAATTGATACAGTTTGCATTTAGATTATCAGCTGAATTTTCCAAGGATTTTTTAAAAAATGTTTTCCTATGCTCTTGCCTTGGAAGCAGAAAAGGTGAGGATAAAAGATGCCTGTTAGTTTAGCATAAATGAGACGTTTCATGGTTTAATCCTAAAAAGGAAACAAGGCAGAAGATCTGCTAGATTTGTTAAGTGCAAGTGTGCATTATACTGAATTGGGTCAGTAATTTCAGGTCACATTGGAGTTGGAGACTTAACTGTTTATTGCGCCACCGTCTGGACACAATGGTGCCAGGTGTGAGGAATATGGGCTCCAGATGATGTTGTACCAAAGCTTCCATAAGCCCTATCCAGCATAGCTATTTAGAGAAGGGAAATGAGACCTGCAGTCTAACAACATCTAGAAAGCCACATGTTTGTCACCTGCTAGTGCATTATGACATTTATTGATTTTTTAAAATGTAAAATATTTTACTCATCTTTTCTCCTTAAAAAGGGCTGAAGGTGCCTTACAATCTTACATCATTAGAATGCATGTTTAAAGGCCAAAAGCAGTAGTTATACAGATATTAAAAAGAATCAAATAAGTAGCCATACTAAAAACGGTAAACACGATCAACACCAAAAACGGATTCAAAGAAAAATTCATTTATTTTCTCCAAAGGAAGTATAGCAAAAAATTAAGTGAATGATCTCTATTTGGGATTATTTGAAAATGCCTACTGTATGTCCTGTTTGTTTTATTATAACCTTATAAGAAACATAGGCTCACTGAGAAGTGGCGAAATCTATACACTGGAATATAAAACAGCATTTCTTCTCATAGTGGAATAATTGGCCGTTTCCCATATATTTATCCTCCTCTATAATTGTCCCTATTTTTAACTGTTATAATCCTCTGTGAATCCCACTCAACTTCATCTGGTTTGCTTTTCTATAAACTGTGAATATGGTCAAGACTGAAATGCCCTTGGCTAGTATGTAATTGCATAGAATATTCAAGGTTGGGCTGAATGCTAGGAAAAACAAATATGGAATCTTACAAAATTAATTCCTTGCCAGCCCTGCTGATTCCTGTGAGCAGAGGAATGTTCTTAAGTAAGGCGAAGGAAGTCTGCATTAAGGCAGAAGTACTGAAGTTATTCCTTTATTGTTCAGCTTGTGGCCTCTTTATGGCAGGGGGTAAAGCGCAGATACAATATCTATAATGTTTAGTAAAAACATTCATTTTCTGTTTTAGAACTCATCCCTAGGAAAGCTGCTTGGGTTTGAAGATGGAAAAAATGTTGGTAAGGCGTTGGGTAAAAATGATGAACATGTTTAGAATTATTTTTGCATGAATAATGCATACATTGACTCTTGGCTGCCACCAGGGACTGTGTGTTGTACAGCTCATTTTATTTGTTGTTTTTTTAAAAATAAGAATTCTGAATGGAGAAAAGGTAATGTTCTGAAGCCTCTCTAAAGTATGTAAATTAAACCAATTTGGATGTGTTTGCTTTGCATACTTCGCCCTTTGCTAATCAAGGAGCTATGTAGCTAGCTAATGGTCCCCAACTGGATCATCTGAATGCAGTCCTGTCTTGCCATCCTTGCACTGCAATTAAATGTCTGAGCTGGGGGAAAAATGATCCTGTGTGCTTTCACTTGCAGTTCATTGGAAGCCTTAGATTTGTTCAGCTTCAGCTCCCAGCCATTGCTTTCTGTCATTTCCCAGCAGAAGATTCTTCATTCTTGAGACTTTTGGCTTAGGTTCTAGATGTTTTGGAATTAAAGGCAGTGAACTGGCTCTCAGGATGGCAGCTGTCACAGAGAACCTATTTAGTGATAAATATTCTACCTAGTCTACTCCCCATTCTTTATCATCATTCATTCTTAAAAAAAACTTTTAGTTCTAGCAGACTCCTTTAACTGTGGTTGGTTTATTTGTTGGACTGCTGGTCCTATAAATCAGCTGAATAGAAGATTTTTTTTTTATGTGATGAGTGATTATGATCGGGTTGTATCTCTATGACATTCAACCTGAAAACCTTCAGAGTTGTTGGCTAGAACTCTTACTATCCCATGTCAGCTTGTCAATGATCCAATGATGGGAGTTGCAGTCCAGTGATTTGGGAAGTGCCAAGCTGATTAAGTGGATTGAGAGGCAGGTTATTCTACATCAAGAGTTGGTAGTGGTTGCATTCCATATGATGCTGGGACATGATTTTTAGCATCCTTCATCACTAGCTTTGCAAGACAGGGCTGATGCGGTCCTGCCAGCATCTGAAGAAACACAGTTACCTTCTTGTGCATTCCAGTGCGGTCCTGCCAGCATCTGAAGAAACACAACTACTGTACCTTCTTGTGCATTCCAATGTGGCTGGGGCAATGAGAGCTCTAATCAAACATTTGAGGGATGCCATGTGGTTGAATACTGTTCTTTTCTTGTCTGATAGATCTGGGGAAGTGGCAGACTCACAATAGTTTCACTTAGTGGCCTTTTCTTATGCAAAATATGTACGCACATTAAACCCAGATTCAAAACTCAAACTCAGAACTGTGTGTATTGCTATTGTGTAACAAAGATCTGCTGTTTCTAATGAATCAGTTTTGATGTGTGGTATTTCCTCTCCATTCCTTCATTGTAGAAAAAGGGGACAACCAGGAGAAGATGGAGTGTGAATCACCTGCCAAGCCAGATAACCTAGTTAGTTCTGGCTGCGATACCCAGGTAGCTGTGAAACCCAATGACTCCACTGTGTCAGCAGAGATGGGCAAGAAAGAGCATCCTGGCTCTTGCCCAAAGAATGAAGTTGCCCACTGCCCTAACCCGAACCAAGTACCTCCTCAGAGTCTTGATTCTGACACAGGACATACTTCAGCCTCATTTCACATATCCCTGGGCCAGCTCCCAAGCCCCAAAGTCACACGACGTTCCTTGAATCGGTACAGCCTGAAGCTGGGCACCAATCGACGGAAGTCACTCCCTCCTCTTCACCTGGATGTTTCTGGTATATGTCTCCTCTGTATGCATTAACAGTTCTTGGCGATACACAGAAAACTGTGATTGTAAACTCAAAGCTTCTTTTCTGCTTAGGTTTTCCCATTGTAGGTGATCCATTAGTCGTAGGACTGGCCTTGCTACTTATCCACTGACTAGCAGGTTATTGTACTACTTAAGGATGCCTGATAAGAAACTGAAAATTCCCCCCATCCCATTTGAAGCTAAGGAGTAAAGAATTCACAGCTTGTTAGCAGGGTGGATTTGATTTAAATCGAATTGCTTTAAATTATGATTTAAATCATGATTTATATTTAAAAATTCTTTTTAAAATTTAAATCATTAAAATATTTGATTTAAATCATTTTTTAAAAAAAATCATTGATTTATATCCACCCTGGCTTGTAGGCATGCACCATTCTTTGTTTTGTTTTGTTTTGGTGTGGTTTCTAGAACCTAGAATTCTTCATTGTGGAAGTTGTTCTTGCCAGACCCACACCTAAATTGTGCTCACCTGGAGAAATCTGGGCTGAAAGGCTTCATGGCCTAAGACAGGCCAAGCCGTGGCCTAGCTGCCTGTTAAAATGAAGTTGCCGTGATGCTTGCTGGGGGTTAGCCAAGAGAGGAAGAAATAAGCAAAAATGCAGAGAGAGAACAATATACAGACCTATGCGGGATAGATATAACAGTGCCATTGATCTGAATTTAAAAAGTTCTCCAAACTGAAATAATCATAAAGGAGTTAAAAGTCAGGTATGTGGTGGATAGACAGTCAATCAAATCAGCTGAGTTAGAACAAAGTTTGGATATCTTCAAAACCTCCTCTCCTGTTTCATCTGAAGACTTTTTTTAATGCAGGCATCAATGGTGTCAGCATGTAGGCTTTCCCACGTTCATCTTCTCAACTTGCTTTTCATGATATGCTTGGCAAAGAAATCTGGAGGTCATTTGCATTTACATTACAGGCTTTACATTTTTTGTGACCTTTAGGGTAGCCCAATAAAGCCGTTTCACTAATATTGGACTTTACTATTTAATGTACAATATCAAAAATACATTAAAGCAGGGGGCCCCAACCCCCAGTCTGTGGCCTGGTACTGGTCTGTGGCCTTGGCAGGATTGGGCTGCGGAGACAGATCTCCCGCACACACTCCCCTCATGCATGGCCCACCCAGCTGCAGGCACGGGTGCTGCACCCCCCCATGCAGGCGTAAGCTTGCCCCACCTGCGAGCGCGCCCCATCCACCCATGCATGTGTGAGCATTGCCCCGCCCACCTGCAATGGCAGGGGTGCCCCACCTCCCCAACTTGTCCTCGGTTTGGAAAAGGTCGGGGACCACTGGGTTAGATAGGCAGGGAAAGTATCTAACTGCCATATTGGGCTTCAAGTGGTATTGTGTTTCATTTTTAGATCTGTGTAAAGCCATAAGTCTGGAGTTGCCCGAGACCGAGAGAATGGCAGCACTCCTCCTCTCAAGCTTCCAGGTGATATCAGAACCCTTGTCTTTTCTTGCCCCTTGTTCTTTGATCTTTTCCTTATATGCCTTTTGTCAAACCAAAGTACCTGTGTTTGGCTTCAGCACTGTTGGTATAGCTTTTCTTGCTGCCTTTTGTCAAACCAAAGTACCTGTGTTTGGTATAGCTTTTCTTGCTGTATTTTAAATTGCTGTTGTTGTATGATGCTTGGAAGCATGGCTAGAAAGGCGACGGAGAAAAGCAGTGAGTGAGAGACAGAATTGTGATTGCTCATTCCCTGTTCCTCTTTCTTCTTCTGCTCAGACTTGCCGTCTTTGTTGGCAAACTTTAGATGGTAAGCATCTTTGGACAGACCCCTGTTTGTCTTTTCAGTTTTTAAAATTTAAATGTTATTTTACCTTGTGCTGTAAATGCTATTTACAGATGTTTATGGAATAATACTTGACTAATTAAATCTGTCAAGCATTTAAAAGGCTTTCTTCATGGCAGGAAAATGTCAGTTTGTATGCAAATTGGAATATTTCTGCTGGACAGTTGCAGGAGCAGCTGCCCTCTTGCGCTTTCTCTGACTGATGGTCTCCCATGTTGATGGAGCAGGGCATTCCCCCTCACGAGCCTTGGCTCCTTTTGGCCCAGGGACATGCCTAATGCAGAGGCTATTATATCCTAACTGTGATTGTTGAACCTCTGCTCTGAGAGGAGCAGAAGAAATATTCTGGAGTTAATTTTCATACATTTTTGTTTAACTTTTGCTGCTGTGTTGACTCCCAACAAGGTGGGCAGTTCAGAACAGGATTGCTCAAGCTATAGGTTAATGGTCCTATATAAAGCACAGTGCCTTTTAAGACTATTTATAATTCCGTGTCTCCACCTTGTTAATGGTTGGAAGTGTCCCTGTTAAAGATGGGATAGTCATATTCAGATATGAATATCCCAGATCCAGGTGGCTGGGATCCCCAGTTGTACCTCCCCGAACCAACCAGTCCACTTATGGGTTGCCACTCAGTGCGCACGCCCGGCGTCCTGCTAATTACACCAATCTTGGAAGAAGCCCAGCTGGCATTGCTGCACCTTCCTGCTCTTCTGGGCACTCCAGCCAAGGGGTGGGATGATGAATCTCCCCACTCAGCTGCTGAGTGGAAGAGTAGGAAGGCAAAGCAGTGCCAGCTGGGCTTCATCCGAGATTGCCGCAACAAGCAGGATGCTGACTGTGTGCACTGTATGGGGAGCCGTAAGTGGATGGGCCAGTTCGGGGAGGCGGGACTGAGATCTTGGCCACCTTGGGTCCGGGATATTCATATATGAATACGTACGAATATCCCATTCCTAGTCCCTGTTCATCTTGCTCAATGAGTCAAGAAGGAGCCTCAGCAAGGATGTAAAAGACAAGTTGGATCACATTGAAAGCAGTTACAAGAGGCCCTATAGGTTTTCTGCATCCATCTCCTATCCTGCTCCATCTCTCTAACACTGTAGGAGACCATCCCCTTCTGAACTGAAGGCTTACATAGGACCAAGGCTGGATCATAATAGGGACATTTATCCTCACAATCTCATTTTTAAACACAGATGCATAGAAAAAACTGTTTCAGATGGGTTGCTGCCAGTTCCCCAAGTGCAAATGACTGGAGAGCACAGACATTTCCCCATATTCTGGGAATTACAGAGTTCCATGGGAGCTAAAGGCCCAGCAGTCAGGTCATCTTGCATGAATGGACATGTCTTACCCCTCTTTTGATGAAAGGAGTATGGTAAATGGGCAGAAGAAGCAGCAGTCAGCCTCAAAGTAGTGTCCTTGCCTCTTTTTTTAACCACAGAAATAAGATAGAAAGTAGAAAAGGCAGTGATTCCTCCAAGTGCCAGGAAGAAAGATACTAAAGCTAACTCGTACACATCTTGCTTGCTGGAGTCCCTACAGATTACCAACCTCCACTTACAAATTTCCAGAGTAAGACCATATAATGCCCTCATAACTAGACCTGCTTGACTGTTATCTTGGCTTTTGAGGGCTATCAGTTCTAGCATGGGCTCTGTGGCATGGATCAAGAACAGGGTGATTTCAGGCTTGATAGAGCTACCTCAGGCTCGCCCCTGCCCCACAGGAACGCTTAACCTCTTTTAACCAGAGTGTAGTGCAGCAGACAGATAGGTGTAAAGAATTCTGAGCCTTAACATTTGTTGTCCCCACCAAAAATTAACTGAACTTTCAGTTCTTCCCCATAAAATTCCACCCCTGCCTACTCCCAGCTTTCTTCTTATGAGTATTATAATTGATGGCTGAAACAAGAAGAATAATTGTGTTGCAGCTGTTGTTAATCAATTGGAAGTTAAAAAAATCAACAAAAACTCTTGCTGCTTTACTATGAATTGCCCTGAGACAGTAGATCAAGATTTGCCTTTGGGGTTCATGTATCAGTTTTGGGGCTGAAACTGCAGTTTGGTATTCCTTAGCATAGATTGTGGTGGGCAGCTTAAATATCACTCCCTCATACCGATTTTATCTGATGTGTGGCAGACCAACTCCAGATGAGACAGAATATAACATTTCAGTCATAAATATATATATATATATTAAAAAAATAAGTTGGAGAGAGCAATTAAATTCTTAAAACTATATATCTTAGAATTTTGAATGCAATATGCTCAACTATGCCTGACTATGTGTTTTCCACAGCTGTAGGGTGGGTGCAATATATTGAAGGTACTGTTTGCTGGTGTTGTCTCCTTCTACAACCTTTATCATGTTGACTTGAAGCAGTGGCGGTGCAGCAACAAGAGACTTCACAGATGGAAATGTGTACCACCTTATTGCCAAAGCCCTGTGACATTGTCCCTGTTGGCTGTGAAATTATTCCTGCTAGGTGGCCCTAACTTCATGATAGCTTCACTGCCTCATGCAGCAAGTGCATTTCTGGCTTCCAGGCCATAGAAGATGCTCCTGGTTGTAGGTGTGACATAGACTCTTGTGCTAAAATCTGGTTTCTCCTTCATTTGCCATTTAATATCTTCCTTCTTCTCCCAGTAAGACCCTATCCATTCTCAGGTCTCTGGGACTTTTTGATTTTTATGCTACTCCCCAATGAGAATCTTTTCATGTTTCTGCCATAGTTTTCTGCAAGGAAACTGGAATATTCCCTGAGACAGACCGAAGGCTTTAATCCTGAAATTTTTGAAGAAAATGGTAAGTTTTATTAATTCATATAAACAATGAAGAATTAAGGTATAAACAAAGGTTATGTATAGACCAGTCTGGTCAAAAGCAATTTGAGCCAAAACTTAATATGTTGTGGAAATAGAATGCTTCTTAATTATTTCAGAGTCAGTGATGTGAATTTTCTGGAAACTTGTGAAATGCAAAATTCTCTGAAAAAAAATTCCAGTGCCTTATATATAACTGATTCAATATGTTACGTAAGATGTTCTATAACAGGGGTCTCTAAACTACAGCCCGTGGTCCATGTCTGGCCCGCCTTGCTGTTTTATCAGCCTGTTCCCTTAACCCTGTGTGTGTGTGGTGTGTGTGCAGGGGCATGTGTGCATGCGTCTGTGTGAAAGTGGGGTGCGGGTGCAGGGGGGCATGCATGTGTGTGTATGCACGTTCCAGCTTCTTCAGCCCTCTTAAGATCTTGAAAGTATCCGATGTGGTCCTCAGGGTTAAAAGTTTGGAGACCCCTGTTCTATAATAAGAGCAAGCATCCTGAGAAAGAGCAAATGCTTATATTTTTTAAACAAAGAATTTCAGTGTCCCTACAGCCCATGGCTTTTTCTTTCTCAGGACACAGCCTGTAGCTGTGTATTGCAACAGGTAATCAAACAGTGAAGAGTCACTCGACACGTTTAGATTACTAAATGTATTATTGGCATAAGCATTTGTAGACGCTGTCCACTGCATCACGTGTAACACCTGACGATGGACAACATCTATGTGCCATGGAGATCCACCTGGTTCTCACTGGATGGGTTCAAATAAGCATTGAAGGCTTGACTCTTCCACCAGGCTTTTCCTGAGCATTACATTTTTGATATCTCAGCTTCCGTTTTATAATCCTTTTTGCCATCCTTTCATCATCCTTTTTATCATCTTTATAGCCATCTGTTTTAATTTATCCTATTAGTTATTGTATCTGCTGAATGTCTATATTACTTTATTTTTATCGTGTTTGATATTGTGATGTTTGTCTTGTTGTTAGCCACCCAGAGTGGCCTGGTTGCCAGATGGTGCGGAGTATAAATCCAATAAATAAAAAAATGAGGGTTTTCTTGATTTCTGGTGACATGGGCTTCCATGGCTCTGGAAAGGAAAGGCTGTTAATGGCTGGCAAACTAAATTTCAGAGAAACTTGTCCTCGTATTACTGCTTTTGTTCTTAGGTTCTGTAATATCCCAAAGAATCTCACACCTCCCAGAGCACAAAGCCTGTATGTTAGGCAATATAAGCTAGTTTTTAATGTGGTATTTTGCACTGTCTACTATGGTTTCACTTTGTCTCTTCCTTCAGTGAGATTGCTTTCAGAGGAGTTGAGACTCCACACAAAGAAACTGATGCTTGAGGGAACTCTGCAGAAATGCTTTGAGGACCCCAGAGGGTAATGCCTATTTACCTTTACTTACATAGAATGATATAAATTTGACGCAACTCCGGGAGGCAGTGGAAGATAGGAGGGCTTGGCATACTCTGGTCCATGGGGTCACGAAGAGTCGGACACGACTAAACGACATAGAATGATAAGATTGATCAAAGCGAAATATTTTTAATCCCAGGCACTCTTAACATAACTAATACCAGGACTCTTATGTTTCTGGGTTCACTTCTCCAGAAAGTTGTTCACATGAACTCTCAGCTTAGCTTCAGTCCATGGTCTGGAAGCTATTTCAGAGGTGTTACAAAGTTGTTAATTTTGATAGTTATGGACCTGCTTAGTCTCCTGAGTGGGAGACTCATGCAAGCTGTTTAGCTAAAGGAAGAGCAGGACATAAATAATTAGAGTATGAGAAGTTCCTCTGCCATATTTTCATAATCAAATCTTAATGTTTTCTAGGGGTTTGTCAGATCCTGCCTTGAGTGGATCAGTAGCTGCCTTAAAGGAGAATATAGCCAGGTAAGGTACAACCAGCGCCACAGGTTAACTTCTGTCATTCAGTTGTGAGCGTTTTCTTCATATCACATTGATCATGTTATTCTTCAGAACTTCTTGATGACTCACCATTGAGCATAAGCATTGTATAATCTTGATCCATGGAAGTAAAAATGTGTAGCCTTGCTGAACCTCAAGTTAATGAAGATACATGTGCTTTTTAATGGCCTCAGTTCCAATGGCTGCTATTTTGTTCAGTCACAGTGCTTGCTGAAGGAGATGCTGATGAAAATGTAGCAAGACAGAGATCTTTTGGAGATAGAGTTCTGCCAACCTCAACATGGAGCGCACTGCAGGCTTGCAGTTCCCTCTGCCCTCATCTGATGCAAATTGTTTCTTCCCTTCATTTCTTGGCCTTCACCATGGCTAAGTTTAGTTCATATAATTCATGATGATTGGTGCGGTATAATGGTGAACCACACTTAAAACTTGTAGGCTTGGTGCTTAGGTATGACTTGAAGAGAGAAGGAAATGCCAGTGTTCACGGCCTACCCCGAGTCCTAAAAGACTTGGCAGCATTATTTCTGCAGAAGGTGGAATAATTCTTAAAGCCAAAAACCTGTTGTGAAAATCTGTATGCAGTGGCAGAGTGTCACTTGCATGATTAGGGTAATGAAGTCAATAAACACTAGTAATTTCTAACTTCAATAAAAAGAAAAAGGTCTGCTGACATATCTCAGGTTGGGAAAAGTTGAAAGCAAGTTTTAAAAAAAGAAGGCCTGTTTGGAGAAAGTTTGTCTCTAAAAGGAAACCACAGTCTTGAGTTTCCAGGATGTGAGCAGGACTGTTAAAGATAGGACTTTTTGGAGGTCATTAGTTCACAGGGTCCCCTCTAATGGGAACTGACTTGATGGCACACAGCAACATATCTCTTACAGAGTAGAAGTGTAGGAAGTAAGCAAAGTTCAGAGTGTGTTTGTGTTCAAATCCAGAAAAAAAATTATAGAATATGATGCCCGATTGCATTGTTTAGGCTTGTAAGGATTTCTGTGCTTTTAATTAAACTCTGTTTATACTCAGCCCATTTAGAATTGAATGGAGTCTCCTAACTGCCCTGATATCTGCATTGTTTTCCCACAGAGAACAGGGGTTTCTCCTTTATAAATTCTGATTTCCGTTAATAATAAAGAAAAATAGGAATAAATGAATCAATAATAATTAAATAAGAATTGAATTATATTAATTTTTATAATAGCAGAATAGTGCTACTTCACAATCAGTAGCAAAAGCCTTCTAGTTCTCTACAAAAATATAAAGTGGCACGCAGAGAAGTAAAAGACTATTAAGGGGCCAATTAATAAACTATTCATCACTAATCCCCCCAGACACATTCATCATGAAGCTATTATAAAACAGAACCTACAAGCAGGAAATATTAGTGACTATATCTGGGAATCTTTGGTGAATTGGGACAGATTTGTGAGTAAGCATTACTTGAGGATTTTAGCCAACTGGGATGGGAAAAATTACTGCATCGTGTAGTGCTCAGTGAAGGATCTTTGTGGAATTTTTGTTTCAATTGCATTTCCATCTAACTACAGAAATGTAATGTTTTGACAGTTTTTATGGGTTGTAATGTGGAGAAAAAAACTTTGATCTATGTTCTGTAGGTTTTCCACAGAAAGTGAGGCTTGGGATGACTTGCTTCAGACTTACAAGAAAAACGCTGAGGAAATAGCCAAGTAAGAACATTAGATATTTTTCTGTATTAGATGTGCCTGAAATAGGGTATACAACATTGGAACAGAGAAGATGGTTATAAAATTACTGCAGTGATAAGAAATTTAAGTGAAGGACGGCAGTGTTACTTGTTATGTTCTTAGAGCACTTTTATTATTATTATTTATTGGTTGTGTTTATATTTTGCCTGTCCTGCAATGAGCTTGAGGCAGCATCCTCAACTTTATCTTCATAAGAACTTTTTGAAGTAGGTTTTGGTTAAAGGACTGTGATGAACACAAGGTCACCCACTGAATTTCATGGCTTCCTGAAGCAAGAGAGGAAGCAAGCTTCAAACAGAGATGAAGACAATAAGCAGACCCAAAACAGAAAATAGAGTAATTTGGTACCTCTTTTTATGAGATTTTTGGGATAATTTCCCTACTTCCTAATCAACATCCTTCCTCCTCTGAGTTGCTCATTGTCATGCTCTTCTTTCTAATCTGGCTCTTTATCACCTTCCTCTGAGCATAGAGATGGCTACAGGTTAACAAAAAGTAGGAAATATCAAAGGACAAGATGACAGGTAAGTGGTCCAGCTGGCTATTGATTGTTTGTATCAGGGGCAATATCAGTACATATGCAAAAACTTATATGGACAGCTGGATTAGAATCAGCTAGAGGAGTGAAAATTGGTGGCAGAAACATCGATAATTTAAGATACACTATTGATACCACATTACTAGCAGAATGCTGCAATGGCCTGAGCCAACTCCTGATGAAGATGAAAGAAGAAAGTCCCAAAGGAACTGAACACCGTGAAGACTAAAATTATCACTACAGAAGAACCACATAACTTTAATGGTAACAATAAAAAAAATTGTGAAAGATTTTGTGTACCTTGGTTCAATCATTAATCTAAAAGAAACCTGCTGCCAAGAAGCAGAAGATGTCTGAAATTTGAAAGGCTATAAAGGAACTTGAAAAGATTATTTCCCATTCATTCCCTATTGCATATGAGCAAACCTAAGATAACTGGTCCAACTTCTTTCACTGAGTTCTAGTACAGAAGACCTAGGGAAGCAGGTATGTTTTCAGTTCCTTCTCTGGAGTGAATAATATGCAGTGATTTGTGGGCTGACATGCTCTGGATTACTGAAGTAACATGTGTGAATTCAAAGCCCTATATATATTAATGTGATAATTTGACACAATCTCCTAAAGAATACATCAAGAATCAAATTCCTAGGATCCCATCTGAGAAGGCTAGAATGATTGCAGAAAAAGAAACATCCTTTATATATACTGTATAAGATTTTTCTTTTTCTGCAATCATTCTAGCCTTCTCAGATGGGATCCTAGGAATTTGATTCTTGATGTATTCTTTAGGAGATTGTGTCAAATTATCAGTCAATATTTTTGCTCAGTCAAAAGATCATTGCACTACGGTATTAGAAATGATGATGATAATGTTGACTACTGAAATGTGCATTTTTTGTCTTTCAGGCAACTAGAGCAGCGTGAGCTGAATCAAGGAACAGAGGAGCCTTTCAGCTACCTTGGTGCTTCTCAGGCTCAAGTGCTTCAGGCCAAGCCAGACTACCAGAAGATATTAGATAGTCAGGGAGAGGTGTTTTGTGATCTGGAGCGAGTGGTAAGTAGAGGAGGCTGAAGTGAGTTTTAATTTTAGATTTAATAGACTGTACTGAAGAGATACAGCGCTACAAAGAATTGTTAAGAGATGGAAAAGATGTAATATTGGGAGCACAAATAGTCTTACCAGTAAGCAATCACAGCTGTTTGCAAGGAGTGGTGCTTTTAATCAAGTAGGGGCTGAAAGAAGTTTTTCCTTCTTATTCTGTGCTTAGTCTCTTTATCCCGAACAGCCATATACTGTATACTTAGTGATATGAAGCTGGAAGGGCTGATGTTAAATGGAGGGGGTTATATGTCCTGAAAAGCAACAGCATAGTGGGTGGAGACAAGCTGTACAGATGGACGATTCTTTACTTTTCTATACAAATTCAGAAAGCCATCAAGATGCAGTAAGTGAGCACTGGTACAATTAGATTTGACCAAGAAAAATCATAGACATTGTTAAAAATAATGTTTTAAAAAATCTTCCTTATGGAGGAAGAGAAAGCAGTACTACAGAAAAGAAGAGTTAAACCCTTTTCATTTCTTGAGAATTTTAAGGACTGTTTAATGCTTCTATGTCTTTGCACTGTTTTATCCTCACTGCTGTTTTTATCTTGAAGTGCATTGTTGTTATTCTTTTATCCTTTTTGTGTAGTTTTTATTGAGTAACATAAAATCTGACATAACCAAAGCCATAATCTGTCAAGCAAGATCATTATTGATGCTCCAGTCATGCAAGGAGATCCTCTTGAGTTCTTTGCACATCACAGATATCTCAAAAGGATGTCTAGCTGGTGGGAAAGATCTAATTCCCTCCTGATACTGGAGAAGGGGTGGGAAGGGATTAGTTAAATCTGCATTTCTCCACAGGAGGGCCCAGGAGGGCAAGTCCTGCAACTCCTGACCCCTATAATGGCTCCATTTATGCAAGGAGACTTGAGATAATGGGTGGTGATGAGAACCAGAAATAAACACCACCTCTGTTCAAAATTTGTGGATTCTTGAACAAACGAGTCAGTCAAATTATGTAAGGATGTTGGCTAGAATCTGGGATTTTTGATTTGTTTCCCATTGCTGAAGACTTCTCAAGGCTCTTCTGAAAGCATGCAGTATCCATATTAGATGACTTGAGTGATCAGAATTGTGTGTGCGCGCGTGCAATCAGAGTAGACTGTATTTATTTAGGAGGGTTTTTTAACCTTAAAATATGTGTGTCTTTTAGCTGGATGAAATGCAGCAGATAGTAAAAGTTTGTCAAACTTATATGGAAGATGTTACACAGTATCTTCGGAAGTTATCATCAAGACTTGGTAAGCCATGGACCAGTTACTAGTCCTTAATTAGACAATGCAGACTATCGTCTTAAATATCTGAATGCAGTGTAACAACAAAAAATTTCCAGCACTCTCCTTTGTCACACCCATTATTTGCTGCTCCATATACATGTTTGGAATCTTACTGCACTTCCAGACACAACAAATGCAAAGCTTGTATCAACTCCTGGCTATGCAGAATTAACCCATTATTTGACTTTTTGTTTTGTTAGTCTGATCTAGTTAATGTTTCCTAAGGTTGTTAAATTTATACCTTCAAGCTCAAATTTTATTGAGCTGCTGATGCAAAATTACTGGGTTGATTCTTCTGTACTTGTAGGAATTGTCCAGTGTTGGTGGGTATCATGAATTGCAAGTAGACATGCGGGCTTCTTCGTATTCATAGAATACAGGTGGTTGGCCCGATTATCACCCTCCCCCAGAACTCTGGACCACTTAGCAGTGTGAGGTGTGTGTGGCTGGCATCATTTCCTGCACCCCAAGTAGCAGTAGATTGGTTGCCACAGCCCCGCCTCTCTGCTCTCCCAACCACTCTGGCTGAGCAAGAAGACTTGTCTTCCTGCCCCCTTGCCAGAGTGAACAGGAAGGTGAGGCTGTGGCAGCTGGGCTACTGCTCTGATTGGGGCTCAGGAGATGACATCAGCCATGCGCACTTTGTGCCATGCGGTAAGTGGTCCAGCAGGTTTTGGGGATGGGTGGTAATCAGGCTGGCCACCTGTGCCAGCAGGCTTTGTATTCGTAGACAAATGCACCCCCCATGTCTAATTGCAAGCTGATAGCTACAAGACTAATGACTGATGTTGCCCCCTTCCCTGAAACTCATCTTTCTGTTTGTCTTTTGCTATACTGTCCATCCCTGAGCTTCATAATAGAATTATGAAATACTGTAGTTGAAGTGCTGAGAAATCACTAGGCTAAACAATTCAAAATAAAAAGAATTGAGGATGTACAAAGGGAGAGAGAAATGAGAAATCCAGGATGCAACAAGCCCAGGATCAGCGAACCAACCCCTATTGTTTCTGTATATTCTGGACTCTGATTGGGCAAGATAGTCATGCCATGTGTATGTCCATCAACCTTAATTACTCACTCCTTGTACCTAAATGGTAAATCCGATGGAACTACCATGGCAGCACAAGGTTGTCTTCAGAGAGGATCAGTGAAGATATGTCCTAATCTCCTTTGTCCAGTGAATCTCAGTACAGTGGTGCCTCGCATAGCGATCGCTCCGTTTTACAATGAAATCGCTTTGTGACAAACTTTTTGCGATCGCAAAAGCGATCGCTTTGCGATGTTCCCTATGGGGTAGTTTCCCTTTGCGATGATCGGTTCCCTGCTTCGGGAACCGAGCATCGCAAAGTGATGATTTTTTAACAGCTGATCAGTGGTTTCAAAATGGCCGGCGGGTAAACAAAATGGCCGCCCACTGTTTTCTGGGGCAGATTCCTCGCTTAAGAGGCACTGAAAATGGCCGCGCTATGGAGGATCTTTGCTGAACGGTGAGTTTTAAGCCCATAGGAACGCATTAATCACGTTTTAATGCGTTTCTATGGGCTTTTTAATATCGCGTTGCAACATTTTCGTTCTGCAGCGATTTTTGCGGAACAAATTAACGTCGCAATGCGAGGCACCACCGTATCTTCAGAAGGAACACATCTGTTTGTAAGAGGACAAGACTGGATCACATCCCTTGTCATTTACAATAAATACAATGGGATAGTGTTAGCCAGGTGCAGTCCTTACAGCTGGATTGTATTAAGAGAATCACTGAAGCTCTTGTGCATCCAAACACTGTCCTATGATGATCTACACCAAATAGGTATGTTTACATTAACAGACTGAGTTATGGGCAATAGCTGCAAAACATTTGAGATCTATCAGAATGTTACCGTAACTCTGAAAAGCAGATTTTGTCAGGAAAGAGAATGAAAGCATTTTGTGTCTGGTTTAAAAGAAAATTGACAGCAATTCCACAACTCCGGAGGCCTGTGGACTGAAGAATTTGCTATACATGTACTATACAGTGGTCTCTGTGTTTTGCTGCAGTTTACTAATGTTCAGTTAATCAGGGTGGATATCTGGAAGCAAGTGAGAATTCTTTTTTGTTTAGGTAACTCGAATCTAAGTTCGTAAGTCGAGTCCATATATTCCTATGAGAGCGGTTCGTAAGTCGAAACGTTTGTATGTTGAGCCGTTCATAAGTCGAGACCCCACTGTACTAATGTTCAGTTAATCAGGATGGATATCTGGAAGCAAGTGAGAATTCTTTTCTTTTTTTTTTTGTTTCAGCATCAAGGACTTTCAACAACTTAGAAAACTCACCAGCCCGAAAACTGCTGAAGCTCAAGACAAAGCTAGCAACACCTCCTCCTCCTCCAGAGGGGTAAAGGTGGTTACTTACTTTTTTGCTTGTTTGTTTTCCGACTTTCTCTCTAACACTGCTGATCATGGTTATTTTTTGGCTGTCGCCTTCCCCCGTTTGCCTGATGTGAACTGCACTTCAAAAGCAATGACATTCTTGCTCCATAGCTTGACAAGGTGGAGCAATATAAAACATGTTATATCCTTGGATGATAGGAGTATTTCCAGTTTAGCAATCAGATAGGAAATTAAAGACTCCCTGTGATCATCTCCTGTGTAGCTTCAATAAAGGCAATGTATTTGCTTTTGCTTTTTTGGGAGCACAGCAGAAGGAAATACTACTATTCTTGGTTTGATTCAACCATTAAAGGAAAATGATTTGGTTCTGATATTCCTGTAACTTAGCATTTCAAACTGAAAGGCATTGTGAACCCTGTTTATTGTTCTCTGAACGCCAGACGGTGTGGGACATCCCTCCTGTTCTGTGTTATATTATGTGATGGCAAGAGACAAAAATTCAGGTAAAACTGCTCCTTAATCTCCTACATTTAACCAGCTGAAACACTGACAACTTAATAACTGGGCCTGGTTGTCAAGCTTCTGAAGATGGCTAGAGACAAGACAAAAACTCAGAAAGGATTTTTTTGTTGTTTCTCTGTGTTGTTTTCTTCTCCAAACAGGCTCTTTTATTTTGTGAATATTAATGTCTTTTCCTAAAACAATATACATCTCATCATTCATTGTTTTGATGTTTTTCCCCCAACCACTTTGTTTCATGTTCTTGTTGTTATTTAAAATAAACATTTCACTCGTACATATTTAAGAAAATCTGCAATTGGTGAATTATATCTTGTGCATTTCATCTTATGGCATTCCTGTGGGGAGTTGAAGTCCAACAACATCTAAAACGAGCCATTCTCGAAGGGGGCCAGAAGGGCCCTGGCACATTTGAAGGGGACCACAGACTAGAAACAGTTCTCCACATAGCACTTTGTAAGGGTCATTATGCACCTTATACAATTCTGATTTGGCCTACATTTCTTTTATTATTTATTATTATTTATTTTTTATACTGTGCTTATGGGTGTGGTCAAAAAAAGCTGATAATGGCTCAGGACTGTGGGGTGTCACCTTGATTTAATTACGTGGCTCACCATTAACAATTTAATTTGGATAGCTCAGTGAGTTAGGTATCCATCTGATTGCAGAACACAGAGGTTGGGAGTTGATTCTTTTGGACTCCCAGAAAAAAGGCAGCCCATATAGTCTAAGGCAAGCTGCGCAGTCCTCCTGGAAAGGGTTGCAATAGGTCAGAATTGACTTGATGGCATGTAACTGTTATTAATAATAAAAAATGAAGTACAAATGGTGTTCTTTCGGTACTAGAAGCCCAATTCAAGACCTGAGTTAGACTCATTTATTTTCTTTAGACCTCTTTATCTCTCACCCTGCAACTGCCATTGATGATCCGTTTGTTAGCTTGCAGATTCTGTCAACTAATTTGTTTGTTTAGCACCATTTGATTTGCCAGCTTTCTGCTCAGGGCAAGCTTGGCCATTTAGCAGCAGGAAATGACTTGGCTTCAGTCTGTACTAAATGGAGCAGATACAGTACACTCATTTGTAGGTGGATCTGTTGTTTCCAAACCTCGTAATCACTGGGCCAAAAAAATTCACTTTAAAAGTTGGTACAGGTGGAGCCTATGTATTTATAGTTGATGAAATCTACCGTTAGATGCTGCTGTGTGTTGTGCTTTCTGTTCAGTTGCCAGCTTGCCATATTTCTGGGATACTCTGTCTACATGCCTGTTCTGGAACAGGCTCAATAAATAGGGTTGCTTTGAACCTGACGCGGCTATCTTTTGGTCCCCTCCAATCTGTTGCCAGAAGTGAGAGGACACAGGAGGGGGCAACAAGGAGGAATTCTGTTTGTTTTTCTCTTTAAAAAGAGCTAGTTGAGACAAGCAAACGTCTTCCAGCTGCCACTGCTCTGCTTGCCAAGCCTTCACCCCGCAACCCTGGCATGCGCGTCCAGAGTAGGGTTTGGCTGTCTTAAAGGCAGCCGCCTTTGGAAGTCCTCCTGTGGGTCGCTGTTTCTTCCCTTTTGCTTGTATAGCAGCATATGGGACGGCGAGAGGCGGTCCCTTCGGTCCTCCATTTAAAGCAAAGCCAAACATAACGCGAAGAGGGACCCAAAACTTCCCTCGCCCGCAAAAGATGCTTCGGCGCGCCTTCGCAGGCGTTTTTCCGGCTCACGCCGGCCCCCTCCCCCCCGTTTGAGAAAGAAACTTTTCATTGGTTGGCTTGGCGGAAAGGGAAAGCCAATCAGAAAGGGGAGCCTTGTGAGCGAACAATAGAGGAGCCTAACACCTTTCCCTGAAGGCGGGGCTACAGGGGCGTCATAGGGCCTGACCCCTCCTCTCTCCCTCTCT